AGGTGAGTTGGGACCAATTGATGCATCTTAGATGGCCACTCACTAGCTTTTAAGACCCCCGATGCCACTCACCAAAGTGGGATGCAGAACATTTTCCTAAAAAACTTTGTTATGCAAATTGACCTAGATGTCCTCTGAAACCATGGTCTCCAGACCCCGACCCCTGCTACTTTGCCCCTCGAAGTGTTTGGTTGTATTCAGGAAACTTCTTAGCTTTGGTTTAGTCCAAACGCCTGATATTTTTTGAAAGCCTCAAAGGTTGATCACTTGCAACCTAGCTCTTTTTACAGTTTCTCAAAGTGGCAACACTGCTAAAAAATGTTTACGACAGGCTTTGAAGGCTGCAGAAAACATATTCCAAAAATGCAACAATTTTAAAAGAGTTTCCTTGAAAAGCAAAAAACTTAAATGTCTTTAAACAAACATTCTAGAAATTAAAGACACTGTCCTGCCTTTATACCTTCCCTTATTTCCTTGGTCTCTAAAGCTATCTTCCTTCTGTATGCAATGCCTCTAACAGGGCCTAAACCAGCGCTGTCCAACAGAAATACAATGGGGCCACATATGCAATTGAAAATTACACAGTAACCCCAATAAAGTAAAAAGAAACAAGTGAAATTTATTGATGTATTTTATTTAAACAAATAAAAAAACTAACATTTCATAATATGTGTTGTTAGGTGCCGTCGAGTAGTGACTCCACGTACAACACAACAAAATACTGCCTGGTCCTGCACCACCCTCACAATCGTTGCTATATTTGAGGCAACTGCTGCAGCCACTGTGTCAATTAATCTCATTGAGGGTCTTCCTCTTTTTTGCCAACCCTCTACTTCTCCAGGGACTGGTCCCTCCTGATAACATGTCCAAAGTATGCGAGAAAAAGTCTCGCCATCTTTACTTCTAAGGAGCATTCTGGCTGTACTTCTTCCAAGAGAAATTTGTTCCTTCTTCTGGCAGTCCATAGTATATTCAATATTCTTCACCAACACCATATTTCAAAGGTATCAACTATTCTTTGGTCTTCCTTATTCATTGTCCACATTTCCCATGCATATGAGTTAAGTGAAAAATACCATGGCTTGGGTCAGGTGCACCTTAGTCCTCAAAGTGACATCTTTGCTTTTTAACACTTTAAAGAAGTCTTTTGCAGCAGATATGACCAATGTAATACACTGTTTGATTTATTGACCGCAGCTTGCATGGGTGTTGATTGTGGATCCAAATAAAATGAAATCCTTGACAACTTCAATCTTTTTTCCATTTATCATGATATTGCTTATTGGTCCAGTTGTGAGGATTTTTGTTTTCTTTTATGTTAAGGTGTTAAGACATACTGAAAACTGCAGTCTTTGATCTTCATCAGTAAGTGCTTCAAGTCCTCTTCACTTTCAGCAAGCAAGGTTGTATCATCTGCATATTGCAAGGGTGTTAATGAGTCTTCCTCCAATCCTGATGCCCTGTTCTTAATGTAGTCCAGCTTCTCTGATTATTTGCTCAGCACACGAGAAGTATGGTGAAAGGCTACAACCCTGATACCCATCTCTTTTGATTTTAAGCCATGCAGCATTTTCTTGTTCTGTTCAAACAATTGCCTCTTGGTCTGTGTACAGATTCTGCATGAGCACAATTAACCGTTCTGGAATTCCCAGTCTTTGCAATGTTATCCATAATTTGTTATGATCCAAACAGTCAAATGCCTTTGCATAGTCAATAAAACACTGGTAAACATCTTTCTGGTATTCTCTGCCTTCAGCCAAGATCCATCTGACATCAGTAATAATATTTCTCGTTCCACGTCCTCTTCTGAATTCAGCTTGAATTTTCAGCAGTTCC